ATATATCCACTCGCAAGAAACTGATAATTTGCGAAAACTCGTACCAAAACCGCTTTAGGATCTCTTTGTCCATTATTACCATAAAAAATAATAAACTGGAAGCTAATTAAGTCGTTAAGATATACTAAGATTTTCATTTCTGATATAAGATGAAGCATTGTTGTATTCATACTAGGTTTCTATTATTTAGCGAGCATTGGAAAACGAAGGACGATCATGCTAATGGGGTCCATTGATGGGTCAGCGATGCAAATTAATCAATTGGCTGTATCAAAGTAATCTAGTGCATTCATATCTACACCGATCTGAGTCCAGATAAAAACAAACTTGAATGGCTAACATTCAAGTGTATAACGAATACTAATAATTGATTTTTATTTATAAAGAAAAATAAAAAGAATTTTCATACGTTTATGAAAATGAAAATAACTGATAAACAAACCACAATAGAGTAAATATCAGTGTTTCAGTTAACACAAACATTTGTTTAAACATTGGATTAAATCTGTTCCATAATTTGATTAGAATTAGTGAATTACAGGGTATCCGTGCGGAATATATAGAAAAATATTCTAATTCCAAAAGCACAATGAACAAAAGACGATTGGGTCATTGAAGTTTGCCATTCCAAGGAAAACTAGTTCATTTCGAACGATTGTTTACAAACTGGAGAGAGGTAGAACAGTTCCATTTTTTAAAATATAACTTTTTTTTGCCAGGGTTGTTTAGAAATCTGGATCTTTTTGGAGACTGAGATAACTAAGATAACTATGAATGGAAGAATTTATTACAAAAAAAAATAATTAAAAAAATCGTTACAATCTAGAACAAATAGTAAAACAAAAAGAGATTTTGCGTAAATTATCTTTGTCTCACCATTCCAGCATAAATCTACTACTATCTATAAAAAAAAAAATTGATTCGGTTTTAAAAATAACGCGTTTTCTGCGTATTTTTTATGAAGTATAAATAATATATAACAATCATATTCAACAGCCTAATTTATTCGTTATAAGCTTGTGAATATCTTCATCAAGTGATCCCAACTATCAATAAAGAACAGCTAATTATTTTTGCTTCCACACCACCCAACGTAGGGAACCATTGCATTTACAGTGTAGTAAGTAAAAAGCCGATTCATATCACATTTTAGGTACATGCTTGCCTAGTTCATTATTTCTTTACTATTTAATTTTAATCAGTATATCATTTCCACATTCCAATTTCAAGTCAGTCTGTTTGAAGTTTAATAAATTAATAAACTTGTTTGAATCTAAAATCATTGGGCGAGCTCTTTGAAGCTTAAGTTTAACAATAAAACTAATTTGCGCATGTGTAAGTCGGATCTGCAGTTGACCACAGAGAGACAAAAAAAACGGAACAAAATTTATTTATTAATGTATAAAACGTAAAAGGCTAATGGAAATTTACGATTATGAGGACGAATATTGTTTTGAATTACAGCACCAATTCCATACTTCTTCACCTCTGGTTGCGACAATTAAAATACTTAATATGGAGTAAGAATATCCTTAGTAAGGGTAGAAATTAATTGCAAAAACATAATAATGATGAGGGAACATTAGCCTAATAGCAAATTTAATAAGGAACTAATGAAATAATAAAAAGGTAGCTGAACACAAGAGGAAACAAAATTAAAGATCAGATGTACTAATCAGGATTAGCCAAAATAACGCTGAATGCCTCAACTGGACAGTGGGTTTAAGCGCCCACGGCAAAATTTTACCAGGCGCTCCCCTAACCCTCTTCCAAATCCGTCCGCTATTAGCCTGTTTTCTTATGTTCGCGAGTTATACTTATTATACTTGAGATATACCTTTGCGCTTCCACAAATGGCCGATAATTTTCAAATCAATGGCCAATTTGTAATTTTTATAACAGCAACTGGAAATGAGGTTAGAAATAATAGCTCCTACTTGATAAATAGTCGCCTAAGAAGATTTGAACAAAAATTGCAATGAATGAATCATAAAGTGAAACGCAGATGAAATAACACAGTTTTCAAGAATATTACATACCAACGCCTTTTTTTATCCGAAAATAATTTTTTTTTATATTCTCGACGCCACATTAGACTAACGGATGTAAAAATATCTGCTTTGCAGACAAAAAATTCACGTTTATATTTAAATTCCATAATGAGATGTTTGTTTTGTATATCTGGGTCTTCACTGAGTACTAGATTTGCGTTTATAGATGAGGATAAAAAGAGACTCCTAATATTCAATGAGATGAATTGAAAACTGAGAAAATAAAATGGTTATTGGAGCAAATGAGATTTCAAAGGCAGCAATTTATTCATGAGTGATTGAAAACTCCCTAGACTGGATCTTACATTCAAGAAGTCAATGTTGGTTGCACAAGTAAGAAGATTTGGGATGTAACAATTTTTTTAGATCTATGAATTGAAAGGCACAGAATTCCAGAGCTGTTCGAGGATTAATTTGGAGTTTTGGAAGATTTAAAAAATTGTGTTACTCCAAAGATGACCTCCACTTTTATCTTGCATGGGTCAGTAAGCAATGCTGTCTATGTAAAGCCATTGTGCTAATTATGAGAAATCTAGAGCATGTGGAAATGTTGAAGAATAGGCAATTTTTAGATTAGGTTTAAACTGAATCGGCACTCTGTACATACTGTATTTTGAAATGATGTGGAGAGGATACCAATCAGTCATATTCTGACAAGGACTTCTTCTGAGTAAAGCACAGATCTTTACATACAGAAACAAGTTTGAAATTTTGTTATTTCTTTAACAAATACCACACAGCTGAACTATAAGATGGATAACGGGTTATTTGAAATATGCCTCTTCCTGTTTGGTCCTTACACTTTTCACACCGACCAAAGTACAGGTTGGTGATGATTCATCAACAGCTCTGGTGTGAATCAATAAGTCATACTGGACTATGTCTTAGAAAGCAGTCCAGCTCTTAGCAGGGGGAGGAGAATCTTTCAACATCATCTTTAGGGAAGACTAAAAAAGGAAGAATTATAAATGGACGGCTCAGCAGGTCTGCCGAGGAACCAAGAAAATGGAAGATAATTCAGTAGGATATCACCGAAGAGTTAACCACAAAAGGCTCATACATGGCAATGCAAAGCTTCAAGCCTTTCTAAAGGATATAGAATTTGAAATACTGCGAGACGACTGAGCTAACTCACTGTAACACGAGGTTACTACACTTATTGCATAAATTTCTATTGTTCATGTTATTTCTATTGTTCTATTATTTTCCAGATGAAGTTTTTTTTTTCATCGCAAACCATGGCATACTTACAAGGTCTCAATGAAGCCTATAAAATGTTTGGAGACCCCTGCTTTTTTTTTTGGGGAGTCCTCCCCTTCCTCGCCGTTAAAGGCTATACGGGGTTTTCCCGGGCCAGGGAATGTGGAATGTGGGCGGGGATTTAAAAGACTCCCCTTGGCACCGGGATGCGAACTCATGACTATTTTAATATCATTTGATTGATATATCAGGTTGCCAGGCAACGGTGGAGCTGGACACACACCGTCCGCTAATAGTGACCCCTGCTTAAGGACATAAATGATGGAAAGACACCTATGAAAGACTGAGAAGTCACAGTGATTATGGTCAACATATGAATACAGCTTAGTTTCCTGGTATTGACAACACCCATGCAACCCGAAGGCAAGAAAGGAAGAATTAAAAATAATAATATAGCTAGGGCTATAAACGACAATAATTTCAAAAATTACTAACCATTCCAATGAATTTGATAACACTAGAGAGTAATAGATCTCAGCACTTCCCATTGCAAGCTCTAAAGTATTATTTATTATAAGTAAAGAATTAATGAACAAAAAATGGATTAAATTTTTTGTTTTTTAAAGTTAATACTTTCTTCATAATTAAAGATTATTTTAAAAATAAGAATGATGTAATGAAAGAGTGCTGTAGGACACAATAAATAGAAAAGGATATTGTTTATTTATTCCAAAAAATCAGTAAGTGACATTTCATAATCTTAAATCACTAAGAACTTTAATAATTTTTTTCATTGTGAAATAAAAAAAAATTGTGTTCTTGCTGTTTCTGTATTTGATATATAAAAGGGTTTGTGTCATTTTAGTGCACTTACTGTTTTTTTTCTCAATAAATAAAATGAAAATCAACAATAATCTTCTTCAATTCATTTCCATCAAAAATGTACTTAGTGGCTTTTTGCAATAAATCAACAATATACCATTTGTTTGTTCAATTTCATACATAAAATATACAATATAAATAACTTTATGTACATAGTTTTAAATATTCAACCGAGACTTTAGTATGAAATTCACTTTTTTTAAACATCTTGATATTTAATTAAGCAAATAAATATTTGATTATCAGAGCTAAATCATTTTCAAGGAGTATACCTACTTCATGATATCTTCTTCAAGACTAAAACAATTTCAAATGTGACACAAAATTGGCTAAGTTGAAATATATGACAGCTGATGCACTAAATATATTTAAATGAACCATGTACAATGTCAATCTGTCATTCAGATACAGAAGTCAATATTAATTTTATTAAAAATAAGATAAACTTAACAGCAGTAAATCAATTTGTGAAAAATTAACAACAAAATAAATAACTCTAATTCTAACCTTACCTTAATTCTAAGGTTATTTTCAATAATACTTGGATCAATTTCAAGAGTCGGCATTTCAAATTTCACTTAACAGGTACACATGAATACAGAAGACTGTAACTGATAGGCAACAGAAACAAACATGCCATCTAGAATTGCTAAGCAATGTATGTATACACCTATAAATGTCCTAAACTGGCATATTGTAATGATAATTTTGAAATATTATTATTTTTAGGATATCCCAAAAAGGATTCATGTATACAATACAGAAAGCACATCATCTAAAAGTTAAATATGAGTATCTGATAAGTGATATGGAAAGCAAACTAACCCCCTCTCTACTCATTCTATCACATAGCATTCAGCTGAGGGGATGGAGGAGACGGCGTTACACCGTTTCTGTGGTTCGCCTTTTTGGGTGATTATTGCTTAATAATTCTTTCTGGATAGTTTGGAAAATTTTAAATTGTTTTTTCCTTTCAAATTTGTATGCTCTATATACCTCATTTTTCATTTCTTTCTGGCTTGGTCAGATTGGTTTTGTAGTGTGTTGTAGTGGTCCTTAGATGAAGGTTTCATACGGTTACAACTTATTTTTCAAATCATGTCAAACAAATTTATTTTTATTTTAAGGATAACAACTTAACATGGTACACGGATACACCAGACTTGACATCCTGTTTTGAAAAGACTGTGTTTGTGTGGACTCCTTGCATATTCCTGTGGGTGTTTTCAAGTATTGACATCTATTATATTTTCAATAGTAAAACAAGGGACATTCCATGGAACTGGAGAAATATCACCAAATTAGTAAATATAAAAATATATTGTAATTTTATGATAATTTACACTGTCATGTGTACCTTTCATATTGTTTTTCAACTTCATAGTTTTTATGGCTGTATAATATTATATTACACAATTCTAGGCAATTCTGGGTTTGCTGTTCACAGTTTGCTTGATAGATTTTTGTTATGGCCTTTATTGGTGGAACGATATCTTTCCTGTTGATATTTATACGCCTCTCATTAAATTAGTTTCTTTAGTAAGTTTCAAAATGATTAACGTAATTTAGTCAAAAATTTCAAGTATCATTAATACTGTTACTTTTCAGGCACTATGCAGCATTTTAGTATTTTTTCATCGAAAATATGGAGTCCAATCATCTGGACTACTATTTATATTTTGGTTTCTTATATGTGTACTGGGTCTTTCACAATTCCACACAGATCTTACAGGATACCTCTCAAGGGTACGGTAAAATTTTATATATTTACAACATTTTAATCATGCAAATGATGCTAATTTATTATTTTTCAAGGAGGGAAATGATATGCCGAGAGTAACTTACTTTTTATACTATTGCTTATCTGTAATCATGTTCTTACTTCAATGGATATCAGATCTTCCTCCGAAGGTATCTCAGTATCCTGCTGTAAAGGTATGATCTACTTAGTTTTTAATTTATTTTTTTATACTAATTTTAACTGAGTATGACCAATTGGGAGTTTATGGAAGTCGTAATTTATGATCTAAACTATGAAAAGTTATTGTGGTGTACACGTCAAATTCAACTATTTTCAGAATTCTGTTTATAGCAGGGATGGGTGATAGTCGATAGTGCTATCGATATTTCTAGTGACTATCAATAGTTATCCTCCCCTTTCACACAAATTGTTTTAAAATTTTATACATTTAAAGAAGTAATTTTAATAACACGCCTTCATACTTCTACCCATTTATTGATATACGAGATATAGTTGTAATATAATAATGTGAAAGTTAAATGTATGATAATGGAACATTGTTATTGTACAATGGAAACGCCACATTAAGAAAATAAATGGATGGAGGTGTGAAGGCGTGTTTAAAACTTATTCTTATCAATATTTATAACTGAAAAAAAAAATTTAACAAGAAGAAGTCTTCATTGTAAAAATTAATTTAATCTCAAATTACTTCCTTAGAAATATTATTACACCTCTGGCTGTGCCAATGGGGAAAAAAAAGACACATTTACCTCACCTTTTTTATTTATTTTTTCATGAAAAAATATATTTATAAAATCTACAAGGATGCCATTACTGTTCTATTATATTTTAAACTAAGTGCTATTATCAAAATAAATTTAGAAAATTAGAATCTTGAAAATTAAAAGACAAGCATTTCTCTCCTATTTTTTTTTACTATATAGTTTTAAAAAATACTACCTATATAGATGTTTGTTGTTTGAATTCTACAATCAGAGAAATAAATGCAATCTATTTTTCTGTATAAATTAATTTTCCTGTCCATATTTTTTTAAACTATTAATTTAATAACTTTTATTAGTGCCTTAACATGAATCTAATATTGATATATCCAATATTAATGTTATTTATTATTATTATAACAACACGTCAAACATTTTTCATTATAACATTATTTATTATAAGTTTATGCAGCATTTTATAGTAAATAATTAAATAATACAGCGAAAATAAATCCTCTTTAAGTTTGTGTCGTAAAGTTACTGAATTATCGATAGTTTTCTGTCGATACTATCGAACTATCAATAGTGGAAAACTATCGACTATCGCCCATCTCTAATTTATAGTGTGATCATGAGATCTTGTTCCCACCCCTCTAAGTAGAGCAACACTTATAAAGTACTATACCCAGACAATTTTTATTATTTTCTTTGATGATTAGCTTCAAAAGATTTCTGGTTCTCCCTTACTGGTAATATTCTAAAACAAGTTTTCTAAATTAGATTATATTTTAGGATAATATTCTGTCAAGTATGATAACTTATTTTAGTTTTTATGACCATACTTGGTGCTTTTTTCCTCAAGCTAATCACATGTTCACAAAGATATTGGTCCTGTTTTAAATCATATCCCCTTAACATGTCTGTTAATCATATCTGATTAATTAATTGTGGGATCTAACTGCTATACTATTTAAATGATCTTTGAAATTTAAACCAAATAATTATAAACATAAATGCCTTAATTACTGAAAACCTATAATCCTCTTGTCTGCTATATCAATGATTTATTTATTGCTTTATTACTTTGATAAGTACCTATTTGATATAAGTATTGAGATAAGTTACTTTGATATATATATATATATATATATATATATGCAGTATATTAACATATATTCGTCGGTATGACAAAAATTCCTCATTTGTTGTTTACAGAAAATGATTTTTTTTTTCACTTTTATTTTCAAACCGTACATGTTAATTAAATTCTTCCTTTAATTAAATCGTTCTTTTAATTCTAAGTAAATTAAATTATAATTTTTAAGAATTAGTGAAAAAGAGATTCTATTTAGTGAATGGAGGTGTAAAAAATTACGAGGTGGATATGTGTTAATAATAATCTCCATTTTTTAATATTATTATAACTATTATTAATAAAATAAGAAACTAATCTAAGAAATACTTAATAATTTAGCAACTGTTATGTATAATTGTCATTTATAATCAATAATAATAATGATAATGAAGTCTTTTCTTAGCTAAAGTTTTTGATAATATTATATTGTTAAATTTATTTTTTGTAGAATCCTTGTCCAGAAACATCAGCTTCCTTTCCTTCTAGAATTACGTTTTCTTGGTTCAATAGTTTAGCATTTTTAGGCTTTAAAAGGCCTCTTGTGAGAAGTGATCTCTGGACGATGAAACATCAGGACATGGCTTCAGAGATATATCCAATATTTGACAAATACTGGTGTGAGACAATTAAAAAGAATAATAAGTGAGTAAATATCACCTAACGGGATTGATATTAGTAAAGATATTCGAGTAATAAAATATTATTTTTAGTATTTTGTGGTAGTTTTCTTAATACTGATAATTCACTCTTAATATTTGTTTTTTAGAACTTATAAAGATGATTCTGCAAAATTTCGGAAAAGTGTGAATAGTGTTGATATTACTGGAACTGGAAAAACTAAATCTAAGCCTTCTTCTATTTTACCAGCTCTCATCAAAGCATTTGGTCCATCGTTTTTGTTAGGTGCCAGCTTGAAACTAATGCAAGATCTTTTAGTTTTCATCAGCCCCGAGCTTTTGAAGTAAATATTAAGTTTATGTTGGTGGTATTAAAAAGTGAAATTTGCAATTAAAGATCCATACCAAAATCTTTCTATTAATAATTTAATTTTCTTATTTAAATTTAGTAATGCAAGTGTATATTTTTCATATTTACCCATTATTGTAATTAAGACTGTTATTTTTGCTTTTTAGGTACTTGATTTCTTTTGTAGCAAATCCTGAAGAACCCCAGTGGCGTGGATATTTTTATGCAGCGATTCTTTTAATTGTTGCCACTATGCAAACTCTTTTATTATCACAATATTTTAATATAATGATGATGGTTGGACTTCGAATTCGAACCGCTCTTACAGCAGCTATCTACAGAAAGGTACTTAAAATTTCCATATTGTATTGTAATTTTTAATTATTTTGATATTCCTCAACAGTGGAAATTTTACCATTTAAACCTTTTTTTTTATACAGTTGAAATAAGCATAAAAATTATTTTGTTTTGGTTTGAAATTCAATTCAAAATGAACAATTGGATTGATTCAAGTTCAAGTGGAAACAAAAAAACAGAATTTCATTATCTATAACAATCCACTATTCTAATGAACATAATGAAAATGTTCTTCAACAGTACACATAATGGCTTGTTGTTGTTAATAATAATTTAGATAGATAAAAAAACAACTTTATTCTGGGACAAAGTCTCTTTAGGATAACAAAATTGTGCAAAATCAAAAGACTACATATAGTCTAAAAATTTGAAACAATATATAAAATTAAAAAAAAAAAAAGTGAAGAAAACCTTAAGTGAACAAGCTGAATATCTTGTTTTTTATTTTTCTTATTTAAAGTCATATATCTATATATTACATAGAATAAGTATTTTACTAACAATAAGACAACGGGCATAAACCAACAAACAAAATAAAACATGGCTAACTGTGGTTAAATCATTAAATAAAATTTGGCCTTTAAGTAACTTGAAAATCAAATGGCCAGATTAAACAAACATAAAACCTTGTACAAAACAGTGTAAGATTAATCATAAAATAATCTTTGGTTTCAAACTCTTATTCCAAATACACAGAAGGATTTAACTGACCACGATAACATAATTTATTCAAAATCATACTCACAACCATAACCATCCAAAATGTGTATAAACACAAACAAAAAGATAATGAATTATTTGTAAACAGTGAATATATTATAGTGCACAATATGCCGCGGTGTAATACACCATCAGCAAAAAAAAATGGATTATTAAATAAAGTGTTCTAAAAAAAAATGTGGTCTGGTTTATACCTAATAAAACTTTCACTTACCATCCTATTTTATGTCTGGGCATGTCAAGGCAAGGTTCCCAGAGAGCTCAGTTTGGAATATTGTTTGATTCCCTCCTGGGTCAGTTTATTACTTATTTATCATTATTTATACGAAATGAATCTACTACTAAAAAAAAAAAAATTTGTGTTAAAAATATCAAATACGGGTCCCAATGTTTCATTTTTTGAATATCTCTTTCTAATTAATTGGTCTCCTGGGAAATTATTTGTTTATCTAATTAAATCAAAGTCATGCTTCATCCACTGAAGATTTAAGAAGCATTAAAAAATTGTATGCTGTCATACTTGTAGTAGTGTGTTGTCATGCATAAAATTCCACTACGGCAAACTGAAAAATACACATTCTTCTTATTAGGCTGGGGTGGACGGCGCACAAATAAATTTATAAATAAATATAACTGAGACTTGAAAAGAACAACTCAAAACTACTTTAACTCCCAATGTATATAAATTACAGTTTGTGAGTTTTGTCACTAAAGAGATGAATCGAAAGGACTCTTAAGGTTCCCTTGTCAGCAGAAATCACATAGACAATAGTTTTCAATTAAAAATATCATTAATCATTGTTATTGAAATTTAATAACATTACGAGGAGGTTGCATTTTTCCAATACTATCTACAATATTATATGGGAGTACTTAGATAGTATCTTATTTTGATGGCCAAGTGTGTAAAGGCATTTTATGCTTCAACATTCTCGAGTCTAGCAATGATGCTGGTTTACATCCAGCCTGGGCAGGTTGAAGTATATTATATATCATGGTAAACCCACAGAATGAATCTCAACCTTCCCACCCTGCTTAGAAAAGGTTTAGTTGTACATCTAGAACAACCCCTCTCCCTCCATACCGAACATGCTAAGAAAGGGAATTATTCAGGGGGATAAAAGTATCTTAATACCTTTATTAATTCATTGTATTTTGGTGTACTAAGTAACTTCATCTTTTATTATTATTTATATATTTTAATGGTTTGCTTTTATGTATTTGTTTACATCTTTTCTAGTTATGATACTAATGTAGTCATCTTATTTTAGGCCCTTAAACTTTCAAATGCAGCTCGCAAAGAATCTACATTAGGTGAAATTGTAAATTTAATGTCAGTGGATGCTGAAAGATTCAAAGATTTAGTGGTGTATTTAAATATGATATGGTCTGCACCATTACAAATCACATTAGCCTTAGTATTTCTTTGGCGAACTTTAGGTTTGTATTTATTTATTTTTTTATTTTTTTTTTTTATATATATATATATATATATAGTAGGACCCTATTTATCTGGAATAATATGGCGCCCAATGTTATTCTGTGTAAGAAATGGCATGAACGGTAAAGGACAAATTCCTGATACCGATAATATAAAGTTGTGTGCAAACAAATATAAATATTGAATTTAAGTTTAATGTCATATTTCCTAATGATGATAAAGTTTCTTTCAAGTTTTACTTAATTTCAACCAATAAATGCAATTGTCAACATGCTTTAATTTACATCTTTGATGGATGATATTATTTCTTGTTTTAGGCCCATGTGTGCTTGCTGGTTTGGCAGTTATGATAATTATGATTCCTATTAACGGCTTCATAGCCAATAGGGTGAAAGATTTACAGCTGAAGCAAATGAAAAACAAAGATGAAAGGGTTAAAATGATGAATGAAATCCTCTCTGGAATCAAAGTAAGAATTTTCTTATCATAAAATTAACTCTGATTTTATATTATTAAACATTCCTTTTTGTATAGTAAATATTTCTTATGTAATTTGAAGATGTTAATGAATAATTTTTATATTTATATATGCACTTAGAGAATTTAGATTACTTCGTGGGTAAGGACTAAACTTTAATTTTTAGACTTGGGTTTAAGCTTGGTTCTAACAAGAAATTTATTTTCTGTTTTATCTGCTGCGTGAATAGAATGATTAATTAATCTCTATTCTGCTACTCTTGTTGACCCGAAGAATAAAAATGCCTTGTTTAAGCAATATTTATCTGGTTGCGTTATATAAGCTTATTTAAATTAGGCATCTACTAAAGAACTAAATAAAACAACATTGAAAATTTTAAGTATATATATGTGTATATATATATATATATATATATATATATATATATATATATATATATATATATATATATATATATATATATATTTGTACAAACTTAGCTAGACATTTATTGTTTATACAAATTCGCAAAATTGATCATTGAGGTGTTGGAAAAATAAATGATGTTTATTTATGAGGTTAGAGGCTGTACAGATGGAGATGGGCAAGGAAATCTAAAATGATATAGCACGGATAATGGAGGATTTTTAAAAGAAAGCATGAGAATGAATATACAAATTGGTAGATTAAATTCACATAATTAAAAGATGAATGAAAGAACAAAAGATGGGAAGGTCAAGAATATAGGAAGGTTTTAAGCATTGGTATAGAAAGGCACCAAGAAGGTATTGGCTATCAGTACTTAGCTTGTAATACTGGTAAAAGATGTGAGAATGTCTCAAATCACGATATAGAAAATGGCGAAGATATGTTTAGCTGTAGATAAACTGTAGAAGTTAATTGAGATTGTGGCCTTAGATTAAATTACACAACAATATAGTTATTATATCTATGTATTATATTATATGAAATAAGTATTTTACTAACAATGAGACAACAGGCTTAAACCAACAAATAAAATAAAACATGCTAACTGTGGTTGACGGTCAGTTAAAACACGTTAGTATGCAATCATCAAATAAAACTTGACCTTTTAAGTAACTTGAAAATCACATGGTCAGGTTAAACAAAAATCTTTTACAAAACAGTCTAAGATTAATAAAAAAAATAATCTCTGCTTTCAATCTCTTATTCAACCAACGGTACCCTCAAAATTTCATTGTTCCAATATTCCATCTTTTACAAATAGAAAACAATTCTTCCATGTATTGAGTGAATCAATGATTCAAAATAAAAAAAAAGCATATTATTTACTGTATTATATAAGAAAATGATAAAAAAATTTCATATGAGTATATATTATTTAATTTATGAAACTAATTTAATTTAAAAAAATGTTTTGTTTAGGTATTAAAGTTATATGCATGGGAACCAAGTTTTGAACAAAGAGTTTTAAAAATAAGAGAAAAGGAAATAAATGTATTGAAACAGTCAGCATATTTGAATGCAACAACTTCGTTTATTTGGTCATGTGCTCCATTTTTGGTCAGTATTTTTTTTTCCATTCATTCAATCAAGAAATGTTATTAATTATGTTAAAAACTGTTTTTAATTTTATATTTGTTAACTGCTTTGTGAAGTGTTTTTTTTTTTCATTTCTAAAATATATCCCATATTTTATCAAAAAATACAATTATTAAGGTCATTATTTAATGCCTTTAAGGATATATCTATATATAACTACTGATTTATATAATCAGTTTGATATATTAATGAACTGGTTACAGCAATGCTCCTGAAGTGTGGTGAATATTTTTGTTAAAATATATGAGATCTAAATCACCTCTGATGTTGGTTTGTCATATTTTAAGATAAAATACTTTTTAAAAAACTGTGAATCTTACAGTGTGTGAAAATGGAATGTTAACATCCTCATTGAGTGGGGGTATTTTTTCTTCTTTTTTTTGCACTCATTAATTTTTTATATTATATCACTGGTGTTTGGTCACAAGAGCATAAATCATAATTTTTGTGAAATAAGGTTTTTGTATCTTCTTGATACAAACAGCTTGGGTCTCAGGTGTTTTATTTAAACCCATCTGCGACTTAACAGTTTCTTCCAATAAGAAAGCAAAAAAATATTTGATCCAAGAAGACCTAAATTTTCTGAAAAGTGATGATTTAAGACCAAACACCAGTGTTACATATTTTTTGTGTTGATCATTTCTTGGTTCATCAAATAAGCCTTTATATCTGTTTGTATTCATTACTTTTTACTGATCAAATAACCTACAACTTATGTGAGGGTAGGTTTCTGGCTCAACATTTGCAGTATACGTGTTTAGTGATGAAACAAATGTTCTTGATGCCACAAAAACATTTGTAGCTCTTTCCCTGTTCAATATAATATACCTGCCCCTACATATGCTGCCATTGGTCATCGTAGGTTGGATTGAGGTGAGACAAAGTCAAAGGACAAAGAGTAATACTAGTTTACTGCTGCATCTTGTGGGATTAAAAACATTTGTAATCTTAAGATATTTTCTCATGAAATTGTACTTGTCTGAGGAAAATTGCTATTATTTCAGAATGCCTAACTCAAGTCAGTGATAATTAAAATTTTCAATCCATTGGTTTGAAGGTTTTTTTTTTTTTTTTATCCAGACATATGAAATGTTTTTTTAAAATTATCTTCTGAATGATTTTATCCAATTTACATGAATTATCATCAAGATTTTTTTTTTTAAATATTTTCCTCAGGCAACGTTGACATCACTAACTTATTCATCATGCTTCTATTAATTCCCCCTAAGTGGAGGGAACCACAGACGCATGTTGCTGTTTCATTTATACCTAGCTTCTGAAGATATTTCTTTACTATGGTGGAGGTTAACTGGTTTCAGGTTTCTCTTGTAACATTTACAACTTACGTTCTCATCGATGAAAACAATGTTTTGGACTCATCAAAGGCTTTTGTTTCATTATCTCTGTTCAATATTTTGCGGTTTCCTCTGTCAATGCTTCCAATGATGATTTCAAATGCAATTCAAGTGAGTTTTATTTTATATCATACTATATTACTTATTTATTGCTTATTTAAACTTCTTTATTTACTAAAATTAATTATTTATATTATAATTTGCTTGTTTAAAGTTTTTTTTTTTTATCTTAAAAATATATTTTATTTTTAGTATTAAAGATTAATTATTGTAAATACTTTTTAAAGTTTGTGGTGGATTTAAAATTTAGTTTGTAAGTCAAGGAATTATAAGTAAATTGTGAATAGTGTTGTAAATTAATCACTTTCAATACTTGAACTGTTGAATGCTTAAGTTATTTCAGTCAATAACTTATGCTTTGAGATATTCAAGACTTGTGGCAGGAGTCCCCAACCTTTTTCTACTTGTGGTATATAACAATCGTTATTTCTTGGTTAGAATAACAGCTTACTTTACTCATTAAAAATTGTCAGTCTTCAACATATGTAAATAATGCACATAGCATAATGAAGTTAATGTACTCAATAATTAATTTTTTATTATGAAAATGTCACACTACTTTTGCATTCAATGGTTCGAATATTAAAAATATTTTATTAGCAAGAAATTTTTTGTATGAATTGCATACTTCTCTAAAATGGCTCTGTACCTTAAGTTGCATGCCACATTCATGGTTGATGAAACCAGATGACAAAAACCTAATACAACCAGTGGTTGTATGTTATTTTCTAGATTAACTTGAATGCCATAATTAATAGAAATTACGTTATTTTTTTTAACTAAAGGAATCAAACTTGAACTGATTTTATTCTTTAAATGATATTTGATTTTAAAGCAACACTTGCAGATATCAGATACTTAAATACATTGACTATCTTATGCAGTAATTCCACTACGTTGCAGAAGATTGTGATTCAGGGAAGTTAGGCAAATCTCAAAAGTAAACATTTATAAATTTGAATTAATTTTTTTCTCACAATAGGAAAAATGTTCTTGTTAACTAAGATTGTTTTGTTCATTATGTTGGTGTCTTTTGAAGCTCAACTTATTTATATCCTGATCAACTTGTTGTCCCACCCAGATCCAACCCTTTTTCGGTACACATTACTTCCCCAATGGCATGTTCTAATGCCAAATTGAACAGGACAGACCAAGGGGAATCATCCTGTTTTAAAGCTGAACGAATCTCAAACTTTTCGGATAAATTATTACCGATTCTAACTATATTGAGTGTTTCTGTCAAGCATATCCTGACTAGATTTACTAATTTTTTTAAAATCCTCTGCTCAATTAGAATATTATACAGTTTCTGGTGGTCAATAGAATCGTAAGCCTTTTTAAAATTGATATACAGATGGTGAAAAACACCGTTGTACTCTAATTTTTTCTCCAATATATGTCATAAAGAAAATATTTGATCAATAGTCGAACGATAATTTCCTCGGCGTAGTCTGTGATTCGACTTGTTAAGATTAAAGTGAATATTTTATAACATACTGGAAGAAGTGGAATTCCTCGATAGTTATTACAATCTGTTCTCGGAACCTTTTTGTGAATCGGAATAAGAATAGATTCTTTCCATTCTTCAAATAATTTCTCATTCACCCAGATCTTTTTAACCAACAGATGTATTTTAGAAATTCTAACTTCCCCCGCATACCTTAATTAGTTTACAAGGAATATTATTGGTTTCCGCTGCTTTATAAGATTTTAATTTTCTGATAGCTACTTCAACTTCCTCTTTACTCAGTTCTTTTATTAATGGTTCCGCACTCTGGTACTCGCAAGGAGGACACAGATCATAATTTCTTGAATTTAAAATACTGTCAAAGTGGCTCTTAAACTTATTTAATATGTCTACCAGATCGGTCAGAATATTATTTTCCGCCCCAATTCCAGACGTGACGAGCCCTAAACATTTATGTGATCTGTTTATACCTTTGTATATGTCTCTTACGTTATTTTCAATTCTATTAGTTTCTATTTCAATTATTTTATTTTTAAGATACTCCCTTTTTTTATTTTTGAGCAATTTTGTCGTTTCATCAATGGTAGGATTTAGGATTTAGAGCTTTTAATTTAGCAGCTTTTTTAATTTTAGCGGACACCAACAATAAACATACAAAAATTAAAATTTTTCAATGACTTTTGTTCCATATATTTTATGAGTGAATAATTAATTAAATTATAATATTTAAGAGTCAAATACACAATTCAGAAATGTGGAATTCTTCTGCATTTTGGTATTTATGCATAATCAAACTTGCTTGTCAAACTCTCAAATATTTTAATGGATTACGTTAATTATAATCCCCAATAATAACCCATAAAAACCTCCAAATGGATTACCTCTCTTGATAATGAAATAAAGTTGTCGTTGTGTTTGAGTTCATTCAAGTAAGAAGGTGGCTTTATAAACATTTATTGTAACTGTAGCCATTAATGGTTTAAGATGGGATATTAGAAAACTATTCTGAGCTCCCCACAAAAAAAATTTCCTTTATCACTTTTAGGGAAATTTGGAAACTTTTTACACACTATTCTGAAGCATTTTTAGAAGGAGAATGTGTAAATTTATTATGTACTTTCAATATTAAAACACTAAATCTCTGATCTATTTTTTTCACAATAAAGTTTATATAAATCTCCTCCATTATATGTAATTTATTCTGTAAATAACATTTTATTTTAAAATTAGCTTTTGAAAATTATCTAATTTCAAACAGACAAATTTAAATTTTATTATATAATAAACAAGATTGCACAATAATAAACTGTTTAAATTTCATAATTTACATTTATAAGTAAATTTTATGTAAATTGCTTTTGCAAAGTTATTTTAATAATCAAATTTATAATTTTTGATTTTGATGTAGACAAGTGTTTCTGTGAAACGTATCAACAAATTTATGAACAGTGAAGAATTGGATCCTGAAGCAGTTAGACATGATGACAAAGATGGTAAATATTTTCAGTTATTAATTGATCTCATAATAGTTTTGCTTCTTATTCAATTTCATTTATCTCAATGTTGTTCTAATTAACAGTTTTCAATTTTAAATAATGGGTAATTTTTGTTAATTTAAAATATTTGCATTTATTGATTGTCATTATTTTTTATTTAGAAGACCCTCTTGTGATGGAAAATGGTACATTCTCATGGAGCGCTGGTGAAGAACCAATTCTTCATGATCTTAGTTTAAGAATAAAACCTGGTTCACTTGTTGCTGTAGTTGGTGCTGTTGGTTCAGGGAAATCTTCTTTGTTATCTGCTTTTCTCGGAGAAATGTACAAGCATTCTGGGAAAGTCAACACAAAAGTAATTTATTTTATTAATATATATATATATATATATATATATATATATATATATATATATATATATATATATATATATATATATATTTAAATCTTGTATTTTAGTTTTGTTGTATAATTATCACTCATATAGTATAATTAGTGTACTTTGACCCTTAAAGTAGCTTTATACTGCTAAGGAAAGTTCAGACATTTTCTTATTTGACCATATTTTTTTTTTCTCAATTTTATTATTGCCTATTGGGCAATAATACATCTCATTATCTTTCTAAGTTTTCTTTATACCTAGATGTCATCTAATTAAATTTATTAGGCAATCTCTGAATGCAGGAGTTGGGCCATCAAAATATTTGACAAGTTTTTGAATTTTTGAGGGGGCAAATTTCGACGGGATTTTGAATTTTTGGAATAAGTGGCGAGGGGAAAACATGGAATAGATTGCAGCAAGTGTAATTGTGTATGATCTACAGTTTTTCTAATTCTACCTTAGCTTGTTCTGTTTTTAAGAAAAGGTAAGCAATAAAATATTTTGTGAGGAGGGAGGAGAGGGTAGGTTATTGCGCCATCGACCTTGGGGGGGGATGGGCACCCCTGTCTGAGTGGTCTCCTGGTGTGTAAGAAAAGATTATGCAAAGAGATGTGATGAAGATTGGGTGAGGTGGCTGAATGGACTAACGCGTGTACATAGCACTGCCGTTGCTTGTCAACCTGATATATGACTAATGATATAAAAATAGTCACGATTTCGCGTCCCAGTGTTGAGGAAGTCTTTTAAATCCTCGCCCACAAAAAGTATTTTTCTGTAGGAAGATTGTCTTTCAGAAGAAAAACAAAATCTATTACTGCCTAAAACAAATGTATAAAAAAAGTCTGCCAAGTAAGGTTAATATAGCTTCCTCACCGTTTTCATTTGCTAAAAAATATCTATATTACATTGTCTAACATATTTTGTATTAGAATAAAATCTCTGGAAGAATCTGTTTTCAGAAATTCAGTTATCTCAACATATACGGCATATCAAATATCAAAATATTCACGAGTTTTGTTCATTGAATACATATTTGATGATTTGTGTTAAAATTGTTTTTCTAATTAGTGTAAAATAAAATCTAAGTGTTAACATCTTATATGACATGATACCCTTATTATTAGTTAATTACTGGTATAATAATTATCCTTTTTAAACTGTTTATCTTAAGTAAACATTTATTTGGGCACATTGAAGTTGAACTTCAATTATTTTTAATTACCTATTATGCAGCATTAGTTTTTATATTAATACTATTTTCAAAAATACATGATAACATTGCTAATAAATATATTATTGTGTATATATATATGCCTGCATTTAAGTTGTTAATTTGATTAGTTTAAGTTTCATTTTGTTTATATCTATATATTCATTTTTAGTATTATTATTATTTTGCTAATGTTCCATTTATTTTATTGTATATATGGTGTGAATAAACTCCATTGTCACTATTCTAATGTTCTTAATTGTGACAAAATGTAATATTATTCAATAAAGAAAATGTATGAATATGAAGATATTTTAGCGAAGATTTTAAACATATTAGTGATATTTGCATTTTTATTTGATTGTTCTATAATTTAGTTTTAAAAACAATTTTTTTAAATACGATATTACATTATTTTTATTTTTAGGGTTCAATTGCATATGTTCCTCAAATCGCATGGATTCAAAATTGTACACTCCAAGACAACATACTATTTGGAAGAAATCTTGACAGAAAATCATATCAGAAAGTTGTTGATGCTTGCGCTTTAAAACAAGATTTAGAAATGCTTCCCGGAGGAGACCAGACAGAAATAGGAGAAAAGGTGAGTTTGTGACTTAATTGTGGAGGGAATGAAAAACAGAGAAAATAATTATATTTTATATTGTCACTTCATGTATCTGATGTGTTTCTGTGAATTATTAGTGGAGGTTTTTTCTAAAAATTGTTATTTGTCTTATTTCATTATATATATATATATATATATATATATATATATATATATATATATATATATATATATATATATATATATATATATATATATATACATATATTCAATAAGTTTGAAGAGTTGTATGGATTGAAGAATAGCAGGAAATAGTACCTCAAATCCAACCAAGCTCTGGATTATTAACTAATTATTTCTTCTTCTGCCTCAAAAGCTAACTGCCCACTATTTCTCTCTTTCTATCTCCAATGTTCTAGCTTCGTATTAGGCATCCTAACATTCTGACACAAAATTCTTAATCTTCTTTTACATCTTTCTATTCATAATTCCTTGAACTTTAATGTAAAAACTACCAAATAATATTAAGTTTTATTATTATTATTTAAAATAAAAGACAAAAATTACTGATGTAAAGATGTTCAGACATTCATTCACAAAATTTGAGTAATGATTGACATTGATTATTATCCATTCCATCTGTTATTATCCTTGGAAATAACCTATCTGCGAGCTGTTACAATAGTAGGGATTCTAGGTGTAGGTGTTATACTATGATGAAACAAGGGCGGGATATAAACTATCTGTCTTATTGAAACCATTATGAATTCCTAGCTATCTCACTTTAGATATTCCAGGAAGTTTAATGCAGAATGATTTCTGGAATCCAGAATATATAGATTGAAGACTGAGGAGTAGAATGTATCAAAGCATTTGAAAGAATTGGAAACAAAAATACAGGAGGCATTTTATTTTTAAACTGAGGAAATAGCAGTTAATAGGTAGCTAATTGATCAATAATTGTTTCCTCAATTTTAAATTAATTTATCGCTTCCAAAAAAATTCACAGATTACAAGTTTTGATAACTTTGGATGTTAAAAATTTCTTTTTCACGAATCCAAAACAAACTTATGTATTGTATTTTTAGAATAATATATATATTTATTTACCATCAACATTTTAAAACAAATAAGGGTACTTGTCCATTAGCCGGGTGGGATGGATTGCTATCTGCCAATGTTTATCACCAGGCACTGATAAGCCTTCTCGTAATTCCTATCTTCGTATTCGTATTTATTGTATTATATTCATATTATTGAAATTGTGAACAAAAACAAGTGTAATAATAAAAAATACTTTTCTTTACGATATATATATATTAAATTAATATATATCTGATATATATATATTGAATCAATTTGGCGTATGTCAAATATATATATTGCAAGTGCTACCACAGCATCTCCATTTCGCGTCCCTGTCTAACTTCTTTTGATGACCTTGTTCACACAATTTCACGTTTGCAATTATCCCAACATTTTGAAAATATTCAATAGCCTGTTCTTCCGAAGACGATAATTTCCAGAATGTATCAAGATCCATAATTTGGCGAAAAGAACACAAATGGGCCAAAAATAAAGAATGTAATTACTGAAAGGTTTGGCGAGATAAGAAGAAGGAAGTTATGTGACGTAACGTTAGATAACTGGGAAAGATTCGTCCCGCCCGGCTAATGGACAAGTACCCAAACAAGCATCAAAGTGCTTTTAAACTAACAAGTTTTATTGCTAGTTGGCTAAAAGTTCCTAAACTAAACGCTGCAGGATTACATGAGTGCTTTCACACTTTTGGTGCTGAATATTTTGCTTAAAATTGTCAATTGTGGCAATAATTTCTAATTGTAGAAAATTCAAGAAGATTCAGTGGACATTAAAAAGGTGATATTAAATATAAACAAAAACTAAGGAACATCTACTGATTGTTAATTAACTGCTTTGATTTCTCCATAAAAATTGATCTATTCATGGTTAGTTAATGCCACAGCTAAATATATATCAAAGCTGAAAGATTTTTTAAAAGCAGTATGAAAAGAAAAAACTTAATTCCTTAAACCTTTGCCCAAACTTGATAATAATTTTTAATATTTTCAGTAAAATTCATATTAAATTGGTTTATTGATATTTTATTTATAATTTTGGAAAATATCTGACAAATTACCATTCCTTAGTCATAATTTCTCTAATCGGGGCATATCTATTGAGAAATAAGCATTGACTTCATTTACCCAAAACCGGTGATTGGTTACTTCATGTTCTCAAGTATTTTCAAGAATGCATACATCAGAACTTTTAATTAATATTGTATGTTTATATTAAAGCTTTATGTATCATTTATTTTAATCATTTGGTATCACATCTGTTTAGGGAATTAACTTGAGTGGTGGTCAGAAGCAAAGAGTCAGCCTTGCAAGAGCTGTCTATTCAGATTGTGATGTTTATTTCCTCGATGATCCTCTGAGTGCTGTTGATAGCCACGTCGGTAAACACATCTTTGAAAATGTTATTGGTTCTCAAGGAATTCTGAGGAAAAAAGTAAAACGATCAGTCATCTTAATTTATATTATTTTTTAAATTTTAGTATGATATAAATCTGATTCTAAACTTAGTAATTAATTTAATTTATTATGTTTTTTTCTCTTTTTAAAACAGACTCGACTGTTCGTAACTCATAGTATTACATTTCTATCAGAAGTCGATCTTATTGTTGTGCTGAAAAATGGAAATATTTCTGAAATTGGAACTTACCGTGAACTGCTCGACAGGAAAGGAGCATTCAGTGAATTCTTAACAGCACACTTGCAAGATATTGATAATAATGAATTGGAAGGTAATTTTATAAAATTCTTTGAAATTAATTATTGTTTTTCTCTCTTAGTTTTTCAAAATTTATGAATCCTTAATTTTCAATCATTTATCGTTTACTTTTGCAGACTTGGATAATAATTTGATGGAAAAGATTGTAAACAGTAACCCTGAACTTCAACGCCAGCTTAGTCGGCAAAGGTCTGTTAGTGAAACAAGTTCAATTTCATCACTGAATAAGTAAGTTAATTTAAGTTAACCAATTGTTTAACTATATATACACTACTCCTTTACTGATCCATTTTCTGTCGTGTAATAGAAGAAAACTTTCTGATGCTACTCAGAATAATATAGATGCAGTGCCTAATAAAGGTGAAAAATTAATTGAAGAAGAAAAGGCTGAAGTGGGTGGGGTAAGTTATTATTATTTTTTTTTTTCTGAGTACATGCATATGCTTAGAAATGAATTTTTAATTTTTTAGTGTTGTATTGGCAATGTGGATATATCTTACGTACAGTTATCCTTTAACATCGATGAGGGTTATATTTCAGGAAAATCATGTATGTCGTATTTGCAATTGCTGAGTCTATCTTTCTTTGTAAATAGAGGAATTATTTTTTGAAGACCAACAGAAGCAAAAACATATGTTTTTTATTAATCTTAAATACAGTAGTATATAGTATGCTGTATAGTGCATAAAATGCAAGTATTAGTATAGGTCTGATAGATCTAATAAAGGACATGTACAAAGGAAACCTGCCAGGTCAAAATTGGACCGTACCTTTCTCAGCCTTTCCCAACAAGCAAAGGATTGCTCCAGGGGTGTTGTGCCTCTCCTCTGTTCAAGATTTATCTTGACATTTGTTTGAATGCATGGAGAATAAGATGTGAACCCATGGGGATTCAGTTGAAAAAAAGTGTTCTTTTATAACCTCTCCTTCGCAGATGACCAGGTCATCATTGCACAGGACACCGAAGATGCTGGATATATGTTAAGAAAATTAAATGAGGAATACCAGCAGTGGGGACTAATTATTAATGCATAGAAAACAGAACATTAGACATTCAATAATGAGGATATTGAACTGAATACAGGAGGAGTTCTAAAAAGAATTAAACATTTTAAATATCTTGGTTCCATAATTGAAATAGGTGGTGCATGTGATGTGGAAATAAAAAGAAAAATTTCAGATTGTAGAAAGACCTCATCAATACTCAACTCTGTATTATTGAACCAGAAAATTATCCGTAAAACAAAAAAAATTACAGTTAATAAATTCATAAATTACATATATTTATACATTTAAGTTAATTTTTGTTCACAGATTGTACAAAATAAAAACATTTTAATGTTTCTACTCTTGTAAACCTCACTAATATTCTTATATTTCTCATTTAATTAGTTTTGATTTCAGTAAAATGTCGGTTTTGTTAGAGATAAAAAAAAATCGAATTTTTTATACAGATTTGTGTTCAAAACATTTTACAAATGGAAAAATATCTATTAACCAAATATTATTTACATACATACTGCACTTTGAATTATTTAAGATAATGATTTTCTTTTTTTTTAAATCTACGAATAGTCAAATACGCAGTTTGGGAATGTAGAAGTTTTCTAAATTATTGTATTCACTCATAATCAGTACCTACAAGTGTCGCAGGGATCACTGTTTGTTTTTTCATTGCGAGTCACTAAGTGCATTTTTGGTACAGGTTAACTTTCATAAACATTTTGATGAGTTTCAACTTAATTTTTTGGATACAAAAACGCTGTAAGAGCTAGTCAGTGAAACAAACCCTTTTATACATCAAATATAGTTACAAGCGTATAAGCTTCTGATTTAATAAAGGAAAAATTCTTCAAAGTTCTTAATTATTGAAGGTCAATTGTTAACTTTTTGTAATAAACCGACTTTGAATTAATAATTATATCTGCTTTTTATCTTCTAGGTTAAAATGGAGGTCTATGGTAATTATCTACGTGCTATTGGACCTTTCCTGTGTGTAGCGACTGTTGTGCTTAACATTGTCTTCCAAGGTTTCTCTGTCGGATCTAATTTTTGGCTTTCTGTATGGTCCAATGATAGAGAATTTTCGCTCAATAATACACAGGATACAAGTAAGAGAGACATGTATCTAGAAGTCTATGGACTGTTGGGAATCGGACAGAGTGAGTATAAAAATTTGTTTTTGCTTTTGCAAGTAGATATTGAAGAACTAAAAGTTGATCCACACATGGCTTTTAACTCAAGACATTTTGAAATTAAATAATGTCTATTAATGTAGCTCTTAATATTATGGAATATCATATCAGGCACTTTAAGATGAGTTTAGTACAATTCCAGTTTTAAATTTTTAATTCTATACATTTAAAAAAATAACTTTATTTGTTAATAAAATAACAATAATGTTAAATAACTATAATTTTTCTCATTATAGGTCCTAATCTTGTTTACTTATGAAAGTAACAAAGTTAATTGAAAATAAAGTTTATTACATGATTTTTTTTCTTTATATTACTATGTAAAAATAAATTACTAATGATATAAAACTAGGGGAAAAGTGTCTAAGGAAAATTAGCTTTTCCCCATTTTAAAATGGGCTAAAGTAGTTGATTTTTTTTCTTTTATATATTTTGGCCAAAATCATACCCTTATTTTCTTTTAATCTTTGACCTATATGAAGGTTCTGGTGGAAAACAATGAATGTCAATTTCACATTCCTTGATTTTAGTCTGATCTCTCAGCTGAGTAGAAGGTAATACTATTATAAATATAACTAGCCCATGTGGGAAAATGAAGGTTGTTGGTGTTCATGGAAAAGTAAAGATGGTTGGGGGCATTAAAGGTTGAATGATGCATTTAACTCATGGGGAAGTTAATGTTTATCGCAAATATGGCAATGAATTAGAAGTAGTTAAAGTAGAACATTTTCTACCACATTTATAATATCAGAGGGAACCGTAACCAGTAATAAAAGATGTTTTGAATAAATTCAGCTTCCCAAAGCATTGATGACATTTGACTTGAATGCTTTAGAATCGTAACCAAAATTTAGAGGAAGAGGTTGGTTTTAGATTTGTTGCTGTGATCTGAATCCTAAAGTGAGCAGGTTGTAGATTCAGTACATCTTAAATTTATATAGCATTATATTATTAAATATGCATTCCAGCTGCATAAGCAAAGATCGTGCTTAAACACTAGCTGTAACTTCCTAAAATATAATAAAGGTTTATTTCATAGAATTAAAATGATTATTGGGATAACCACATTTGGCATTATTCTTGGAAAAATACTGGCTAATTTTGTCTACTATATTCCTTTTGACCATGTAGCTCAATTATGACTATGACTCATAAAATATAAACAATATAAAATAATTTAGGCCACTATTATATATCTTCATAGGTCTGGTTAGAAAACATTTTTCATCTTATAAAATATTACTCATATACATTCATAATTTATCCTCCTGATCCTTCATATAATACATCAGATTTTATTGAAAATGTTGTTAGTTATAATTTTCTTAAATATACACTTTATTGTTTTATTATATATTCATTTATCATATGTATATTTTGTTTTTTTAATATATATATATACATTGATGTTGGGTTATTCAATTTGCATGTAAGAATGATTTTCTTAAATGTATGAAAGGTGATGGTTTTGTTTTTTTAAATCCTGAATTCATTTATAAAATTTTACCATGGAAGCTTGCATGCTCTTGAATTTTGTATAGTCAGCTTGTGGTGTATTATTTGGATATATGAGCTAGTTATGTTGAAAATCTTATCAAATTGAGTGAGATGAAATAAAGTCTCATATTCATTGTGTTTTTTTTTTTTTCGTTATTTCTTTATGACAAGAAGTTTTAAACGAAATTATCATCTCTTTATTTTAATGTATATTGCTAAGCTGGATATCAGTAATTTCCTTAAGGTCTCTAAGATAAATAATTTTTGAGCCCCTTTTAGACCCCTCATGACATGCTAATAATAAATAATAAATTTGAAATCAGAGATAAATCTTTGATTCTTCAAATATTATTTCTATCAAGAAGCTGATGTTTTCTGTTCATAATATCACAAGAAACTATATATTTGTTGGAGACAATAATATATAGTTCATTTTAGGCAGATAATGCTTAAAATTTTATAATATTAACACAATCTTGCCTTATTATTCAACTTAAAATACCTGGAAAATGGCATGCATCAATCTAATAAGATACAAATAAAAACTGCACCATCATATGTATTTCTTCCCTTTCAATACAAATAAAAACCGTTAAAGTTAAATTTAATGTCCTCATTTAAAAATATTTTAAACTATAATGTTTAATGAGAGAAAAATTGGTAGATGATCAGTTTAAACAAAATATACCATCAGAAACAGTTGGCAGAAATGTATGGCAGTCATTGGTCATCTGCTATAGTGGATAGTACCAGCGAAATGGTTGCAAAATCAGGCAAGTCCTTTTTCCAAGTTTTATAAAATAATTAAATAAATGAAAAAAAAAAGGACTTTTAGAATCTATCATGTGTTTAATATTTAACATATATAAATTAATTCATAATATACATTTGAATCTTACAAAATCAAATTCAAAGTAAAAAAAATCAATATATCTTGCTTGTTGTCTCCAGTTTTGCTATTTCGTTCTTAATCTGTTCCAGATGCCCCAGTATATTCTTGAGGTCCTAGTACTTTATTAAAAATACACTTTTTTTCTATAAATAGATTAAACTTTTTTGCATTATCTTCCATTTCTCAATGCTTATTCGGTTTTAAAATTGCTTTGATTCATTTTTATTTATTCCTAATAATTAGAGTGATTAAAATAGTAATAATAATAAATTGGTACTTGAAAATACAAAATAAAATGGTATATGAAAACTGTAAAACCAAATCTTTGCAAACTTCAATTTTAAAATGTTTCCTTCTTTTGATTTCTTATATCGGAATGTTAAATGTTTTTCTTCAATACATATTTACTAATGATTAATAAATAGTAATTTATAAATTACTATTATTAATAAAACAATTATTACTAAAGAATTACATTTATAAAAATAAATATAGTCCCAAAAACATGTCTTTCGAGAGCTGACAAAATAAAATAGAATAGAATTTTAAATACAGGGTGTTTTAGGGTTAAGTGGCCAAACTGCAAAAATAAGCCAAAGACTTGAAACAAAAACAAAAAATTCCTCTGAAGATATGTCCGCAAATGCTTTGTTTAGGAGATATCCACACCTAAAGATTTTCGTTGTTATGAATTATTTACGTTATATGAAATAAATTAAACCTATTTATTTGTTCTAACTCCTTTATTAATTAAATGTTAAAATTAAAATTCACATCAAACGTTGTTCAAAGTGAAGTTATTTCCACAAATGCTTTGGTTAGAATATGGATTAGATAGAATACTAATAAGGCCTTTTATCCCTAACTGTATAAAACTATTGGCAACATCAGGGTTAATACTATTTGGAATTAGCATCGAGAACTCTCAATAACATTTATCAGTTTGTAAGAGGCTTTCGCAGAGTACTCATCATTATGCCTCCCATTTATACTAATGGTGAATATGCCGTTATGGTGTTTGTATACGGTTTTTGCAATGGCAATGCTAACGCGAATATGCCAGGCGATTTCCGAATAGAAGATTACCAAACAAGTCTATCTTTAGCTCCACGTTTCAACGTCTTAGAGAAATTGGTAAATTTGCTACAATACCACGTGCTGATAGTATTTTTGCCCCTTTACGAAATGAAGAAAGGAGTGTAGCCTTATTAAAATATGTTGATGATAATCCATCTGGCAGTGTAGGAAAAGCCAAAGCAGAATTAAATAGTATGCCAACTACAGTATGGAGTACTCTCATTGCAAATGGACTTCATTATTATGATTCACCCTTATCATTATCAACTGGTAAATCACTTTGAGCAACATTTAATGTTTATGTTTAATTAATAAAGTAGTTGGAACAAATAAATAAGTTTTATTTACTTAATATAACTTAAATAATTCATAACAACGAAAATCTTTAGGTATGAATATCTCCTAAACCAAGTGTTTGCGGACATAACTTCATATACATTTTTTTTGTTGTTTTGAGATCCTTAATTCATATTTTCAGTTTGGCCACTTAACCCTGAAACACCCTATATTTTGGATTGTCCACAAAATAATGCAGAATTTGGAGTTTTCTTTGAAATACCCCTCTGTATAACAAACGGTTAACATTTACTAGATTACTCATTTGTATGAATGTCAACACTTATTAATCCTCTTCTGAACGATAATGTTTGTTTATTTCTGTAGCATTTTGCTGTTAAGAAATAATTCAGTCTTTAGTAAGACGCATGTCAGAGCATGATTTTCGTATCATTTTGTTTTACGAGTTTAAACTTGGCCAGAATGGGTCCCACACAGCCAGAAACATCAATCAAGTCTGGAGCAAGAGCAGCATTAATGAGTACACTGTTCAACAGTGGTTCAAAAAAATTTGGGAGGGTGGAGACTTAAGCCTTGAAGACAAAGAAGGACTTCCTCTCTTGTTGATGATGTTCTGCAAGCTTTGGTGGAAGAAAACCCTAGAGCAACTGTTCGAGATTTTCCAGAGAAACTTTGCCAACATCTTGGTAGAAATATACTGATAGTAGTTGAGACTATTAATAAACTATGATTAAATTAAACAAAAATCCTGCATTATTTTCTGGACAACCCAATATATATGTGTATGTGCTGAAAACAAATCTTTGCAAACTTCAATTTTGAAATTTTTCCTTCTTTTGATTTCTTAAATCGGAATGTTAAATGTTTTGCTTCAATATATATTTACTTGTGATTTTACTCCTATACTGAAAATAATTGGAATAAATCTTGGATGGTGTTATAAAAAATATGTATGTATTTGATGTGAATTATATGTTGCACAAAGTAGCATGATGGTATGTGTTTGAAATTAACAATCTTAAAAAAACATAAAGTTTGTCATGTTTTCTTTTCAGTGTTTACAACTCTTGTCCTCTTTTTTCAAATATATCTGTAATTCTAAATTAAAAGTTTCTTTGTGAAAACAGTTTTCTGTGAATCTTTTCATGAAAAAAAAAAAAAAAAACTATTCTCGTAATAATAATATTATTATTAGCTATTTGTG